GTTGCCGCGCAGTCCGCTCCAAAAGAGCAAGGAAAGAGTGAAAAAGAGCGTACGACGGAAAGAACAGCTGTACTTCATCTGAAAGGATCTGATGTAAAAGAAAAATCTTCGCCAACAAGCGAGGAGGAGACCAGAAGAGTCAGATTGATTGCACGAGTGCGTCGTAGCGATGACGATGAGCTTGAAGCAACGAAGCCAGGTAAAGAGACCAAGACCAAGCATGAAAAAGTCACTTCACCTGGCTATACGAAAGTGAAGGAGAGTGAAAGCTATGAAGCTCATATTAAGCCGCAGAAGGAGATCAAGCATGAGATGACTACTTCACCTGGCTATACGAAAGTAGAAGGTGAAAGCTATGAAGCTCATATTGGCAAGCCAAAGGGTCGTCATCCTCGACTTTTCGGCCGATGGCGTCATGAGGGAGAGGAAGAAACAGTTGAGAAGGAGCATGTTCTACCCGGAGGATACGTTATGCCAACAACTTCGTATCAAGGTCCTCTGGAGTCGACTTCTCGCGAATCTGAACTGCAACCTGCACCGCTGAAAGACTATGCGAAAGCTTATCACAGCGGCCAGTCGTGGGATCCAATACAAGGTGCCATACATGACGTCGAAGTAGAGCGCAGGAAGATAGATGAGCAAATTGGTGGAGTAGAAGCGGGTTTATCTGAAAAGAGCGGCACTGAGCGCACTACCGGAAAGACGACTGCTCTCCACACGAAAACTTCCGAGAAGAAGAAAGGACTTCCGGAGGAGACGGAAGAGGAAACTAGAAGAGTTAGGCTCATAGCTCGTGTTCTACCGGAAACCCCAGAGGATGAAGTTACACTGAGGACGAAGCCTAAAGACAAAGACAAGGAGTCATCAGGACTGTTTGGCTTTTTGAAAGGAAAACGAAAGGGACGAGAGGTTGACGAATCTCATCTGAAAGTACGAGAAGGTGATGAACCACATGTGAGCACCGAGAAGTACACAGGTCCATTGGATAAGATCGATCCACAAAAAGACATGGAGAAACTTCCACTCGAAGTAACTGCCCCTGTCCCTGCACCGCGCAGAACTTCTGCAGAAGCTCCGCGAGCACCTGATCGCGTGCAAGCCTTTGGCAGATGGCGCCATGAGGGTGAAGAAGAGACGGTTGAGAAGGAGCGAGTGAATAAGGACAAGTACGGTCTTCCTCCTACTTCATACCAAGGCCCTCTTGAATCCACCACTCGTATTACTGAGCTACAACCAGCTCCACTGCGAGACTATGCACAAGCATATCATCACGGGCAGTCATGGGATGTCGGCAAGGACACTAAAACACCTACCAGTACGCCCACCGAGCGAGAGGAAGGTACTGCCAAGACAGGAATTCTTCATCTGAAAAAATCTCCTGTCAAAGAACGAACTTCACCATTGCCAGATGAAGATGATGAACGAAAAGTTCGCTTGATAGCGCTAGTGCGAAGAACTTCTGATGAAGAGCGAGACCTAGCCGAACGAGAAAAAGGCCTTGGTAAATCTAGTCCTTCAAAATCTCCAAAAACCAAGTTACATAAGGAGCGATTCGTGAAGACATCTGACACTGCGACTGAGAAATCACCCAAACGCGGACATCTCTTTGGCAGATGGCGACATGAAGGTGAAGAAGAAACAGTTGAAAAGGAAGGAGTTCGTCCGGAAAGTTATGGCACAACCACTGACGCCTATAGTGGTCCCCTTCACTCAACCACCCCTCAGCATGAACTGGAACCTGCGCCAATAGGGGATTTTGCCACAGTGTACCATCCTGGTCAGTCTTGGGATGACAAAGGAAAGAAATCACCTGTTCTAACTGGTGTGAGAGAACATGTTGATGAAGAAAGTGAGACTGACCGAAAGACTAAGGAAAAGGCGGTTCTCCATTTGAAAGCGCCTAAGGAAGAAGAACAAACTCGAGCGACAA